GGACTTCAACTCCCAGCCTTCCCCAGCCAGCCTTCTGGGAGTTGAAGTCCACTCATCTTAAAGTGGCCAAGTTTGGACAACACTGGTCTAACCACTGTACACATCTGATAAACTTTCATGCAGCCCGTAATAAAAGGTGTTTGTTGGAAAAGGTGTCATCAGATTCTTGATTTTTTTGCCACCATAGACTAACAGGCTGCTTCTCCTCCGCCTAAGTCTCCATGCAACAGCTGTTTTTTCACCTCTGGCCAGTTTGGGAATGTGGGGATCCACAGCAGGACAAGGATGATGTCCTTGAAGGAGGATGTGTTTATCTGTGCCTCTGAATGAGAGGAGGATGTGCGTATGGCCAAGCAACCAGACTTGGTGTTGAAGCTGTGACAGCGCAACGTGTTTAACCTGGTTACTGAATTAGGCACAGCCTATTGGGTGAATACAGCCAAATGCCCCTCTGTGCAGCCCACTAAGAGAAGGTGGTGGCAAAAAGTTAAAAAAGTAAAATGGAACTTTTGTTAGTGGAATCTTCTGGAGATGCTCTTCAGGCTCTTTAGAGCCGTCCAGCATCTAGCGCAGACTTACAGAGTGGAAATGGTGCACACGTTAATATAAATTTGTGCACCACTGAAGTATAATCTGAGCTCTTCTGTCTCTTAGATACAGAGAGGGAAACCTGAAAGCCTCCAGTTGCGACGGAGCTCATCAGTGCTGGCTGATGGGGAGTTGGAGCCCCATAACCCTTAGAAGGTTCCAGATGCCCTCCCTTGCTTTAGTGCAGTGTTTTTCAAAGTTGGCTACTTTAAGATGTGTGGACTTCAACTCCCAGAATTCCTTAGCCAGCATACCTTAAGATGTGCGGACTTCAACTCCCAGAATTCCCCAGCCAGCATACCTTAAGATGTGTGGACTTCAACTCTCAGAATTCTCCAGCCAGCATGGGAATTCTGGGAGTTGAAGTCCACACATCTTAAAGTGGCCAACTTTGAAAAACACTGCTCTAGCCTGTTTTATGTACATTTTGTGTTCTCATTTGGGATGTCCTGCCAGGGAAGGGTAGGGAAAGTAGAGCTACAAATAGGGGCTGCAATATTCCAGATGCCCACTAGTTGGCAGCAGAGAAACAAGGAAAACTCTAGAGGTCATCCAAACTTTGCAGCCCAGAATGGGCAGCCTTTAGATGAAGAAATTTAGAAGCAATTTAAACTATTAATTTAACAAGTCCCCTAACAGCTAACCCCTACTCATTCCTAAAAAGAAAGTCATTATTTAAAAAATTTCTTCAAACCCAGCCATGCCAGAACTTAAGACAGCTTCAGACTCCTCAGTATTAAAAGTATATTTCTAACCTATAACCCTCCACCATTAAAGCTTTTCTCGCAAGTCCCTTCAATTCTCACGTATCAGTTCAGTTTTTAAGGCCACACATCCTTCGTTTGCAGCAAGTCAGAATTACCTAGCTCTACTGATTTTCAACAGATCTGGGAATTCTGCCCTCTGCACATGCTTATGTGTCCTCTTTTCCCCTGATCCCCTTCCACATCCAAGAGTTTGGGGACTTGGGGAAAAAGAGGGAGTCTTGGGAAATTCCCTGGTATTCTTGGAGTCCTCGATGCTCAGAGGGAAGAGGGAAGCAGGGAAATCTCAATCCCCAAGGCTCTTACCTGTGTGAGTGTCTCCTGACGCCAGGTACAGCAAACTCGTAAGCACAAGGTAGGTTTTCATGGTGAGATGAGACACTAAAACGAAACAAAGAAGGAGAAGAAGAAGAGGAAGAAGAAGAGAAAGAAGAAAAAAGAAGAAAGGAGGAGGAGGAGGAGGAGGAGGAGGAGGAG